GGCGTTGACCCTCCCCGTGGGGCGGGGGGCCGCCTCGGCCCGCCGGGCTTGTGCGGGGAGGGAAGGGGCGGCCCCGCGGGCCCGGGTCTGTCTCCCCCTCCCGCCTCCCTTCACACGAAGCCTGGCCAGGGATTGTAGCCGCCTGCTGCGAGTGTGGGGCCCAGCGCCAGCTTCGTGGGAGTTGGGGAGTTACAGTCCTTGCCGCCCCACAGCAATTCACAGCTGCAGTTTGGGGGTCAGTGGTGGTGGCTTGGTTGTCAGCGCTGGCGCCCAGCAGGGTGTGTGGGTGCGGGTGAGCTGTGCTTCAGTAACATACGAAGCCTGGCCAGGGATTGTAGCCGCCTGCTGCGAGTGTGGGGCCCAGCGCCAGCTTCGTGGGAGTTGGGGAGTTACAGTCCTTGCCGCCCCACAGCAATTCACAGCTGCAGTTTGGGGGTCAGTGGTGGTGGCTTGGTTGTCAGCGCTGGCGCCCAGCAGGGTGTGTGGGTGCGGGTGAGCTGTGCTTCAGTAACATCGCCTATCAAACGGGCTGTTGTACCTCTTGGTAGCAGCTCAGACTGTCTCCCTTATTATGTAATGTAGATGAGGTGGATCCCCAGCTTCATGGGTCTTGATGACTGGAAGAGGCTTCTGCCTGACCCTTAAAAGTTGATCAGTTGTTCTTGTATGAAGCCCATTTAGCTGAGGGGGAAGCTGAGGAGCTGGAAGGGGTACTTGTTTTGCTCCAGCCCACGTGGCAAGCTTGCATCTGAGCTAACAGAGCCCAGGTCTCCTGATTTTCCAGTCTTGTGCATTATTTCTCCGAAACATAACAGAAGAGCAGGGAGAGTGAGTTTGCCATGTTAGTCTGAAGTCAGGCAGAAGACAGGGCACAGTGGGGCACCTTAGTTACAGGCTCACTTCTGCCAGTAGGACAGTGGAGAGAATAAGTGGCTTTTTAAAAAATCTGAGATGAGTCTTAAGTTTGGTGTAGTTGGCAACTGAAGTTTGTTTCTGCTCTCAAATGGTCCTTCCTTACCCCCACGATCCATGCCCCTACCAGAACAAATACGTCCAGCAAAGGAAGATTGTGATTCCTCCACCTTTTTTTCCTAAGAAAGCTTTCCTTAAATACAGACCGTCTGCTCTCCTCTGAATATGTTGCTTTCTGTTTCACATGGGGAGGGATCACAAAGCTTTTCCCTTTTGAATAGGATCTAAGGGGAGAGTGCAAGTACAGTTGCTCTGCCATTAGTAAGAATATGAATGGCTGCCCCACGAAGTTCCAGCATTTTTGTTACAAACTTTGCCTACTTCTTTTATGAGGAAAACAAATGTTATCTACTGAAAGACCAGCAGAACCTTTGTCCGTCATTGCATGAAAGAATTTAGGTTATGTTTTAGTGATATATAACAAACATTTTCCTGGCACTATTCTTAGATAATTTACAGGTGTTATGCTTTTAAGTTAAAGTTTAAAAGATGTTAAAGTTACATTTTTATTTAGTTTTCTTGATTGGAAGCTTTCTGCATCACAAACCTTATAGCAATCTGTATTTTCACTTCTGTGGTTAGTATGAGTCCACTGAAATATAATCATGTAAATTTATGTATCGGACAGAGTAGAATCTCAGATTGGTGTACAAATGTTCATTCTTACAGCACCCCTATGAGGAAGCAAGTGGTATTAGCAGAGCACTGGGGCGCAAAAAATTACCAACCATATGCATTATGAATTAATTTTGGCTATCAGTGTCTAGTGCCTTACATAAGACACCTAAAAAAGGCCTTATTTGAAACTGCAGATCATCTGTAGTGCTCTTATGCTAATGGGGACATTTGAACAAAACAGGCCCTGCTGATCTGTAATAGGGCAGCCAGATAAACAAAAGCATCCACTGCATATCTGGCCCAAAGTGGACTGAGGACTAGCTGTCAGATCTGGGAAGAGAATCAAGAACTCATCAATCTCGGTAGCTTGCTCTGACTATTAAACACACTTCTTCAAGCTAAAAGTATTAAAAACCTCTAATTACTTTTAATTCATGCCAGCAATTTGAAAGAGAAAAAAAATTATAACCCCTAGTTTTGGATATCTTTCATTAATGCTTTGTCCTCTTTTCTTGCAGGAGAACCATATCCATGAAAAGCTGGTATCTCTTAGTTTGCCTCAGAAAGACTTTGTGCCTTTCTTCTTGAATTTTTTAAGGGAGCAAACCGGTCAGATCCTGACCAATGGGCCTTCCACCCCTGCAAAAACACTGAATTCCAAGGCCCTTGGAAACTCTGCTGGCCATGGGAGCCAAAGGACAGGCTCAGAAAGGAGGGCAGGAAACACAACAGGGTCAAGCAGCAGCCGAATGCAGCTCTTTACCCAAAAAGGCTCTGCTAACTCCTGTTCCCCAGATACCAGCTTTGCTCCTTCTGCTGTGTCAGGTGGCTCTCCTGCATTTACTGGATCAAACCTGTCTAGCCCCAGCAGTGATTTCCCTAGTGTGGTCTCCAATGTGAGCCCAGGCTTTGGTTGCAGCCCTGTATTTAACCACAGTGAGAGGCGCTCAGCTCAGAAGGCCAACTTGGGGAGCTTTTTTGTGGCCATGCCAGAAGTTCAGCCGACAAGGCGAGGCAGAAGAAAGGGCAACAGCTCCACCAGTACCTCTAGCCGGCAGGTGGCTCGGGATCTTGGACGATGTCTTGCTGATGAGGAGGATGGGAAGAGTGATAACACTTCATGGAGTGGAGGGAGGAAGAAGCGCAATGAAGTGTTGGGTGTCTCTGCCAGTTCCCCACCTGATCAGCTGAACCTCAACAACTTGGAGGAGTTCCCACCCATGTGCGCTTCTTCTGGCTTCACAAAGTAAGAGCATCATTATTAACTGCTGGTCTATTTAGAAAAATAGGACAGGCTGTTTTCTGGGAGAGCTGAGACTATTGTCATAAACATTTGAATACAAAGGATGCCATATCTGAAAATCAGGCCTCTGGAGTGTTTCACTTTTGAAAATATTAGGTGTCTGTAATGTATAGGTGTCTGGCACTTGGAGACCTTTATCTTGGGAAAACATCTTCAGGTTAATTCCTGGGATTTAGGGTTTCATGAGGAGGAGGAGGGATGATCTCTGCAAGATGGGTTTGCCTAGGAGGGTTTGCTGAATTTCTGATTCAAATAATAAGTTCCAAGTAGAGATGCACTGATATATTGGTCCATATTGGATTGGCACTGATAAAAGGAAAATTGACGTTATCGGCAGTCGGCTTTTTTTGGCCAGTATAGCCAATAATGTCTGATAAATGCTGTGTGCTCGTGTGCAGACACATGCATGCATGTGGCCAGGAATGCAGCCTGGCAGCTTGTAGAGCAGCATCTGGCTGGTAAGTTTGGGGGAATGGGGGGGAAGGGGCAAGTGGGTGCAGATCAAGGCCCCCAGGGTGAGCGAGGGATGGGGCAGGGGCAGGAGCTGACCAGCTGAGGCGGTGCATGGGACATAACTGGGAGACCCGTCTGGAGGGAGTGGAGGGCAACTCCCAGCCATTGGGCACACCTGTGGGGGAGGCATGGGGGGTACATGCCCCCCCCCCCCCCCCCAGATTTGTGTGCGGGGCAATGGTGGGCTGTGGGCTTAGGGCCAGGGCCTGCGCCAGCCTCTTCCCAGTGGGCGGGCTGGGCCGGGGCTGCATGTGCGGGAATTTTGGAGTAGCCATAGCCCAGTGCCACCTGTCATGCCCCTCCTTGCCCAGGCCCCCTGCTGGGAAGTGGCCAGTGCAGCCTCTGGCCCCGTGTTGGCAGTGGGCAGCCTACCCTTGCCCCATGCACAAATCCAGGGGGTACATGCTCTCTGTTCCTCCCCGGCGGTATCCACAGTGCCCAGGAGCTGCACCCCCCAGATGAGCCTCCTGCAGCTCCGTCCTGTGCTGGCTGGGCAGCACCTGCTGCTGCCTCATACCCTCCCTCACTGTGGGGCCTCAGTCTGCCCCCCCACACCCCTTCTCCACCACAGATTTACCGGCTGGATGCTGGTCTTCAAGCTGCTGGGCTGCGTACCGGCAATTGGATCGGTATTGGCTGATATGGTTGATTAATAATTGTCCATCAGAATTGGCCAAAAGATCTTTTATCGGTTGTACCCC